GAAACCCTTCCTTTTCAAACCGGTCAGCCAAGGAGATGAAAACAGTCCACAATTTCCTCTATTCGTCCAACTTTCATCCTTTAATGATTTTCACTTAAACAACATATCAAGTGTTAAATCTAACTCAAAAGAGGATTAAAACATGTAAATACTTCATAAACAACTATAAACAAGGTTCAAACATTTCATCAAACATTTGGTAGGTATACTAACTAACTCAACTATTACTTGTTTAATCGAAGAGATTAACCCCAAATCTCAACCAAACAACTTGTAGTTTGCCATTAAAACTTAAAGTACATGATAAAACACCATAAAACTATTATTTACAGAATATTTACCTTTCTTGTAGGAAGCTTGAACCACCAAATCAATCCACCAAAATGAAAGTTTCAAGCTTGAATCAAGCACTTAGGGTTGGAGGAAAGTTCCTCACTAACTCAAGATCTTTCTCTTTTGATTTTTGCTCTTGATCAACTAGGGTTAGAATGCAAGAATATAGAGTTCTCTCTCTTCCTTGACAAGCCTCAAGGAGTTTGGCCACTATGAGGAAAGAAAAGGCTAAGCTTAGTTTAAATTGTCTTCTAACCTTTGGTCAAACAAAATACTTGGCTAGGGTTTTGCCACATAGCCCTTTCTTGTCCACAACTTCTCTTAATTCTTTGACTAATGATGTTTTAACCCTTCCAAATGTACCAATACCTATTTAACACCTCTAATCTCTCATATAAAGTCCCTACCACAAATAAAAGCCACTTGACAAAATGTAAGTGGTGAAATATTTATAACCAACTCAAGAAATTGTTTTAATTCAAATAAAAGGAAATGAAATGTAATGCATCAGAAATGTTATAACACATAGGGAATATGATGCAAGGGCATATTATAAGTGGTCTAAGTCTTAGATTAAGGCATGTAAATAAGAAAAAATTGTGTTTTAAAGTGAGGGTCAATACAAGAGAATTGTTGTAGCATATGTAAAATACATTGCTAGGGCATATAATGAGTGGTTTAAATTTTAGGACAAGGCATGTAGTTTAGGGAAATTATATTTTAAAGTGAGGGTTCTCACACTCTTTCCCCCTTAAAGAATTTCGTTTTTGAAATTCTCACCTTGATTACTAAATAGTTCAGGATATTTTGCGTGAATGTCCTTTTTCACTCTCTCGAGTCCTGTGATCACATGCTTTAGTAAAAGACTAGCAATACAAAGCCATATTATGTAGGAATTGAGGTTCCAAAATTTTATTTAGAACATGCATCGATTTACAAGTTTTATATTCGTATAACCTATCAAAATATAATACTTGCTTGTTCCAATTGAGGAGTAATCCTCATGTACTTACCAATCAATGTTGCAAAAGTCATTTAAAGTAGAAGATTATCACTTATAGTCAAACGTTTGGAGAAAGTAGAGAAGACGTTCAAAATATAGAGTTATAAATTGTCTGACCTAAAATGATTTGAAGAACTCATTTTCCTTTCATTTAAGCCTCAATTCCACTCATAAACCAACCTCAAAATAGTTTACCAACTCCAATCCTAAAGTTGGAAATGTAAGTAGGAACAACCCTAGGAAAATAGAAATCTTCTAGTTTTGTGTGATCTCATTTGAAAATCATATCTCTAGATTCTTAAGTCTAAAATTTATAAACTTTATACCATCGGAAAATAGATTCAAATTGTTACAACTTTCTAGAATGTACCATTGTAAGATCCTATGTGACAGCCCCACCTCCCCCTTAGGCGAACCGGTCCGCCGAACCCTCTGGTTCGCCTAAGGGGGAGGTGGGGCTGTCACAGTTGGTATCAGAGCCTGCTTCGCGTGGTCTCTGCGCGGAGTGAGCCTGGACTAAGTGGTGAACAAGTATAAAGGCTAAGTGCTCGTTCGAGCATAAGTTATGAATTGTAAATGTTATAGGCCTTAAATCTTTCTCATTGTATCTGAGGACCATAAATAGGTATGTTGGGTAAGAATTTCGATTGTAGATGGTTTACTCTTGGGACTGGCCAGCTCAAGAGGTGAATTATCTTATTTCGGATTCTTGTGCCTGAGTACTCCAGAGTTGAGACGGTACTAAGTACTTGAGATTTGTATTTTTGAAAATATGAACAGGCTTTGTCTGGTTATAATAAGTATAAGAGGTTAATGGACATCGAGTTGGATAGAAAGTGATGTGAGAGACCGGATAGGGTTATTCTAACTGGGTGTGGGACGATATATCCCTTTTCTTTTGATTCGCCTGTATATTGTCACTACATGCCGTCAGTTGTGTATTTGTGTATATGAATATCTGCTCGACTTGAGACGTATTTGTATATTTGATTATTTGTTTCCTTGATATGTTTATGTGGTGTGTTATGTGTGTATATGTTTATTTGGGTATTTGGCGCCCTAAATTTTAGTTACTTTATTCACCTTATTGCGTTTATTCATTAAATTATTTTAAAAAAAAGAGAGGGAAAAATATATATGAAGGGAAGACGTAGTTGAGGATGAGGTCGTGGCAGTAGAACTGAGCGAGCCCAGGAGCCAAGAGAAGAAAGGGAAATCAGAGTTGAACACGAGCAAGGACCAAGGGTCGAAGCCGGTGACCAAATGGCAACGGCAATGCAACAGATGACGAATATTTTGGTACGACTGGTGGATCAACAAGGCCAAATGGCCGTGAATCAATCGCAGAACCCTGAAATCGGAGAAGACAAGGCTCTTGAAAGGTTCCAGAAGTTTTCTCCTCCAAAATTTCTTGGAGGGCCTGATCCGGACGTAGCTGAACAATGGGTAGAAACCATGGTTAACATCTTCACAGCTCTAAACTACACTGAGCAAAGGCAAGTGAACTTTGCAGTGTTCAATTTGAAGGACCGGCCCGAGTATGGTGGAACGTGATTAGAGCAAAGTGGGAAAGAGAACAGACCGTATGAACATGGGCGAATTTCATAAGAGAATTTAACGAGAAGTACCTCCCTCCTTTAGTTCAAGAAAGAAGAGAGGAGGAGTTTATTGGGTTACGCCAGGGAACGCTAAGTGTGGCCGAATATGAAACGAAATTTACAAGACTATCCAAGTTTGCTTCTGAATTGGTGGCCACAGAGCGGCGAAGAGTAAGACGGTTCATACAGGGATTAAATTTGAAAATCCAAGAAGCATTAGCGGCGGTACAAGTGAATACGTTTACGGAGGCTCTTGAGAAAGCTCAACGAATTGAGAATGCAAATGCATAAGTAAAAGCCTCCCAAACTCGGAAAAGAGGTGCATCTGGTAATGTATCTGAGGAACTGAGTGAATTGATAGCACCACCTAAAGTGCATAAGGTGAACTCTTTACCCTGCCCACCATGGACCTTAGGGGCGTTAGATGAACGATCTACAAAAAGAAGTCAAGTAGGCCATGAGGAGATTTCTCAAAAAAGCCAACAAGTGGCTTCTTCCTTGACCTGTGGCTACTGTGGAAAGACCAATCACACTGAGAGTGATTGTTGGAGAAATGGGCAGAAATGTTTGATTTGCAGAAGTGGTGACTACCAGGTTAGCAATTGTTCGAGGAAACGGTCACGTGAAAGTAGTACTCCCTCCGTCCTATTGTTAATGTCATATTTCCACTTTTTACTTGTCCCAAAATTTGAGTCACTTTAAAAAAGTCAAACTACTTTTAAAATTACTTTCCAGTTATACCCTTCTATTGAAAAGTCAAAATTGCACTAAACAATTATGATAGGCCCTGCCATAACACATTTAGCTCCTTGCGTTTTTTTTATTTCCGTTACTTTTCTTGGACTTCAAATCTTTGTTTTTCTTTTTTCTTCTTTTTCCTTGCTTTTTTTTTTTGTGTTTTTCATTTCCATTTCTTTTCTTGCACTTCAAATCTTTGTTTTTTTTTTCCTTTTTTCTTTTTTTTCCTTGTTTTTCATTTTTTTCTTTTCTTTACTCTTTTCAAGCTACACAAGTGTTTGCAGATGCAATGAAAGTTTCGTTTCTTGTCTTTCTATCTTTTTTTTTTTAACAAAAGAACAAATTTCTTACAATAATACAAATCAAGTTTTTTTTTTGGATAAACAAATAAAGAATGCTAGATGCATTCCTTACCCTTTTGTTTATCACTATTTAATTTTTTTAATGTAAAGGTGAAAAAAGAAAAGGTAAAATTTGTCCTATAACTTGTGTTCTTGCTCTTAAATTTGCCTCTAGTATCAAACTAACAAATAAATAGAGTGAAAAAAATATCAAAGAAAAAATAAAATGATCAACTAGTGCGTATTACGTTGAAATCCTAAACATCCAAGCAAGGCATTAATTTGAAAGCACCAAGACTAAAATAACATTTACTGCTCATTGCTTCCAAGAGTTCATGGTTGTCTATACAAATCAACAAAATACAAAATCTATGCCCCTAAAATAGATTTGAGTGACAACCAAATCTTATAAGCAACCCTCAAAAATAACTTAGGACCAAAAGTCAAGCCCCCTGTTTTGCACAAAAGCATTAGTAGCAAAGTCTAGCAAAAGCCAAGTCGTACAAAAGCATTAGTACCAAAAGTCTAGCAAAAGTCAAGTCCCCTGTTTTGTACAAAAGCATTAGTAGCAAAAGTCTAGCAAAAGACAAGTCCGTTGTTTTGTACAAAAGCATTAATAGCAAAAGTCAAGTCCCTTGTTCTGCACAAAAAGCGTTAGCATAATCCAAGTCCAGAAACTTGATCCATGACTTGATATACCTTCAGAACAAAATAGAGAAAAAGAAATCAATCATAAGTTAGATAGCATTATCACTACCTTTATCATAATTTAGAAGTTAGCAAAGTTTAAATAATATGGAAATTCTAACCAATACCAGTACATTCATGCTTGTAGATAATGGATGATTTTGTCAATAAGCTCCTTATCACATCCAATTTGCAAAGGAAGATTTCCATCTCTTATCAACCGTTGCTTCCCAATATGTGGAACTTTGTAATTATTCCCTCCACAATTCTTCATTACCTCAAGCATACATAGTTGTAAGGTTAAGAACACATTGTTGAGACTTTCAGATGATAATTCATCGAAAGACTTTTCAACAGCAGAAATTAGTTCGTCAATAGAGTTAGGTGCTTCTTGATGCTGGAGTGATTGAATGGCTCTAAAATACCCAAGATCAAGAACATTCATATCAGGGCTATTAGGTGGTTGAAATGATAAACGAATATCAAAACCTTCTCTTGTGGCAGCTTCTATGAACTCAACATCCATTGGATCAATATGTGGTTTTGCATTATCTTGTTGGATGAAGATAGGGCTGATAACATTACTTTGTGGCCATTTAGCACGAATTGCAGGCAAAACATTATCAATTAAGCACCTTCTATACACTTCCTTGGTCACTGATAGGATAGGCTTTGTTTCTAGAGTACCAGCAACACGATTTTTGCTATTCCTTTTAGCTGGTTCTTTGAAGGCAAAAGGAAATATTCCAATTTTCCCATCAAAGTGCTTGTTTCTAGAACAATCAAAGCGAGGTCGAGCAACTGCAGCTAGAAACATAACCTTAACAATAAACTTTTTACTCCTACAAGTCCTCATAGGGTGTTCTTCTTCAGGATGTAGGTAGTATTTCTCAGACTCCTTAGTCATGTAGAACCACTTTTCATCGATATGAACCATATTGAACATGTTTTCGAAAACAGGTGCATCATTAAGACTCTCTTGTTGAAGCATTGACAAACAAAATTTGAGTCTTACCAATTTATTGTCATCAGTAAGGTGAGGCTTTAATGCATTTGAATGTGCTTTGATAACACCTTCTTTTATTCGTCGATGAAGAGTGGACTTGGCAACTTTCATTTTGGTTGATAGAGAATGAATATTTGTTCGACACCGTAGAGGTATTTCCATGATAGTGCTGAAGTCTATCTCTACCCTTTTGCATCCTGCCCTCTTAGGAAACCTGCGAGAGATGTCAACCGAGCCTCCATTACTGATTGAAGACTTTGCTCTTTCCCAAATTCTTTGTACTGTCCTCGTGCTGATTTTGAACTGTGTTGCAATAACTTTGGTTAATCCTCTTTCTAGTTGCCCACCATAACTATATTGCAATAATGCTTCAAATATGGCTTGCCTTTGCTGATTTGTCAACTTTTTCCTAGAGCTTTCATAATTTTGAAAACTAGTATGATTATCCATGTTCACTGTGGAATATTATCAAACAGAATTTGTACAAAAGACGAATCTCTCTATAATCTCATTATATAGAGAATAAAGGCATCAGAATTATCAGCTTCCAAAATCTATTTATAAGAAACGTGAGAAACAAAAAGCTTAAAAAAATGCATCTACAAATTTTCAATGAACCGCCAAATTTCAAGAAAAAAAGGGAAAAACAACAAATGGCGCCAAATAAAAGATTAGCTAAATTATGCTAAGTCTTAAGATTATCTACTTCAAATTGATCAAAAGATCATAAAACAAAATGAAAATAAAAAAAAAAGCACCAACAAAGTGATAGACGGAATTGTAGAAATCTTACCTTTTTCCATTGTCAATCTTCTGTAACTGATCTTGTTGATTTTATGAAACCCAAGTATACAGAGGAATAGCTAGAGTTGGAAACGGATGTTTGCTTTACTTTAACTTGTCTTTGCCTTTTAGTCAAATGTCTTAATGGCAAGTGGTCCCCAACACCCAACAGCTTGTTATTTTACTCCACGGACAACAAAGGGCACGATTGGAATAATCAGATAAGTGTGTCCCATTATGTTACTGTACATAAAAAGTTGGTTTCCCAAAAAGCGTCCCAAATTTTGGGACGGAGGGAGTACTCAACAACTGGAGGGTGCTAAACCAAAATCAGCGAATGAAAAAGGGAACCGAACAAAAGTACCGGCAAGGGTATACGCCTTAGACAACCAACAAGCTCCTGAGCTATCTGAAGGTAAAAATTTCGAGAACGAAATTTCTTAAGGGGGAGAGAGTGTGAGAACTTGCAAATTCCTTATATATTTCTTGAAAATTTCCTTTTATTTGAAAATTATTTAGAAAATATTATTCTATACCATCTTACTACTCAATCACCCTAGAAAAAAAAATGCCAATGATCATAGGAAATTAGGATTTTCCTTTCCGACTTCAAATCAAAGTGAAATAGGGTTTTTCGTGTATCCGCAGTGTAAGGATCAAATTTGGAGTAAGGATCAAATTTGGTGTTTAAGAGTGACTTTTAGGTGAGAAATAATATGTGATTAGAAACTATGATATAAAGTTAGTGAATAGGAAGTAAAAACCCTAGTACGTGTAATTTAAGGAAAATGGATAGAATTGACGTGTACCGTTCGTTACCGAGTGAGTACACCGATTAAACCCTACTTTATTTCTTTAATCTCCTCATTTTATTTTGACTAATTAGCCTTAAAATATCTTATACATGAGTCACTATGGTGGGCCAAAGGAAGAAGAAAGAAAACTCTAGAAAGGACACATGTCAAGCCCTTATTGGAAGGAGCTTTGACTAATTTGTATCAACCATCATAAAACAAGAATTTAACCAAATCTTCTCCATTTCTTCACTACCTTGGCCGAAAATAGAGAGAGAAAAAAGGGAGAGAAACTTCATCTTCACCAACTAAATTTCTTGCTTAATCTTAAACTCCAATCATAAATCTTGTGAATTACTTCACAAAAACTACTCTTTAGGGAAGATTAGAGCTTTGTATGGCAAGATTTTGAAGGAAAGGTTGTGGTCTTCTCCTACAAGCATCCTAGGAAGGTATCATGGCTTTTCACCCTTTTCTTTTTCCCAATTTTGGTTAAATATGGCTAGAAGCTTTTAATTTTGAGTTACAACGGTTAATTAGTGAGTTTTGTTGGAGTTGGGGGGATGATTAGCTAGGGTTTCATTTTCAGCTTTGATTATGATCACATATCCTTTAATTGATGTTATGAAGTTGCTAGTTGGAGGTCTTGATAATTTAAACCTAACAAACATGAAATTCTAGCAACAAAGTTCTAATTCCAGGTTTAAATTCTCACAAACACCATTCTGCCCATTTTTGTTTCATCATGATAGAGGCCGAATTAGCCTTAGTTCAAAACATAAAAGTTGTAGAGAATGATATTTTATAGTTTCCTACAAAATTGCAACCCAATCAGAGTAACGTAGCTTGTGAATAGACTAAAATACTCCTGCTGCCCTGTTTCTACCCGAACATGCTAATCAGCTTCTGTAATTGGTTAGTTTGACCAGGAATATTACTGAATTGGTTATTGATGTCTTCTTAAGAATTATATAATTGTATCTTAGCTTTCAAATGGCTTTGGAATTACCTGAATTGGAGTTGTGTGTGCTGAGATATGAGTGAATAAAGCAGGACTGCTAGTTGATTTCTGCAGTGAATCTCGAACTGGAAAATCTGGAATTGTTTTGGTAAATTTGACCTAGTTAGGGTGAGAACTGGACTGAGTAGTCTTCATGGAAGTTGTATGTCTTTGTCTTAGCTTTTCAACGCCTCCAAGAACGCCCTAAAGAGACTTTGGTAGCATGAGATATGGCCATTTAAATGTAGTACGGTTAATTAGCCGATTAGTTGGAACCTGGTTCTGTGAACTGGGAATTTGATTAGGTTAAACTAGAAATTTGACCAAGTGATCTTCATGAAAGTTGTAGGACTTTGTCTTAGCTTCGAAATAGTATAATTTTCACCCCAATCCGATAAGCGTAGCTTCGGCTGTGTCCGTTACGCAAAACTCTATCAAATCTGTCTCTTGTTAAATTTGATTTCTGCACTTGTTGTTAGTTGATTTTTGTCCTTGTATTGTCTTGAGCCTATTAGATGGCTATTGAAGTTAGATTGTTGTGTATGTACCTTTGGGTTTAAATGAGAAAAAAATAATGAAGCCAGAATGGCTGAAAAATTAGGTAAACACAAAGGGCATACTGCCCAAATTTACGCTCGAGAACTAGAAAACTATACTTGCAACTTGAGTAAGGGTTAAGAGTGAATATCACTTGAACCATCTAGGATATTTGCATCTTCTTTTACCGATGTATATAAGTAAGGATTTGGCCGAACTTATACCCTTGAGAAATAAAATAATGACTGCTCAGAGTACGTTTTCTTTATCACTTCGACTTAAATGGAGATTTCAAAGTTTTACGAGCAAGCATAAGTTTTACAAAAATTTTACTCATAGCCTTGGTTTAAATGTACTCTTTTCACTTCCAAAACTATACTTATACTTTGTACTAGTAGTTATTCAGATTTTCTTTGGTTCACTTAAACTTTGGAGGGGTTTAACTATAATATTTTCTCTTGGCTATTATTAGGGTTTCTTGGCGATTGAGAGTGTTATCCGAGAGGATACTTTGGACATTATTTTATTTAACTAGGTGAGTGTTCCTTGTTTGTTATATTTTTCTTGATTTCATGGCTTGTTGTTGCTGTTTGATAATGTGTTAAGTGCTTTCAATGATTGCTTAAAATGAGTTTTCTAGGCGAGTGTGTACTTTATCGCACTCGACCTAAATGAATGTGAAATTTTCAATGATTAAATGATTAAATGCTAGTTGCGCATGAATGTATGCCGTTTGGCTGAACTGGGCCCTTGCCATTCGTTGCTGATCGACTCGAGCCAAAAACGGACTCGGTCGGGCGATTTAGTGACCCTGGGTGAACGTTTGGTATACTCGAGTATTACCTTGTTGTCGGGTGGAGCCTGGCCAACGTCCAGGAGGGGGTGAATAAAATGAACGAACGTATGTCAATGCAAACGAGGGTTTTACTTACAAAAATGCATTTTAAATGATTGGAGGAATAAGGGGAATGACAGGAGAATGAATGAACGAACGAACGAATGAATAGCTTCCTGTGAGCCGTATCCTTTTAATGAATGTGTTTATCACTTTATTTTGTATTTGTATCTTAAATTATTGGTTATATGTAATGAATGCTTTGAACTTCTTGTTGCCTATGTGTTCGGAACCTCACTGAGCTTTTAACTCACCCCTTTAGTTTTGTTTTCCTTAACAGGGGGATGCGAGCAAGGACGAGAGCCCAGTGTAGGTTAGCCTAGTCTAGTTTTTTTGTTTTGTAATGGTTCTCGCCCTAGTGTTTGGCACGGGCTAGATGAATGACGAATTGAGAACCTTTGTATATTCGATAATTGTACTTCCTTTTGAAATAGAAATGTATATACGTTTCGCTTTAAGTTTTGGATTGTTATTTTGTTTGATCTTGTGGTTTTATTTTGGATTTGATTGAGATTCGACTGAGTCCCGGCGAGAGTTGGGCAGGCGGTCCGCCGAACCCTCTGGTTCGCCTTAGGGGGAGGTGGGGCCACATCCTATCCACAAGTAAGTCAAATTCCAACCTAAATTTGCTGCTTCATCAAGTAAAAGATAGAACAAGTATGCAAGTTCAGTCAATTGTGAAAAATCACAGATATTCATGGGAATTGAGAACAATGCTGAAATTTTGCGGTTGATAGTACTCTGAATCTAGTTTCAAACATAATAAACAAAACTCAAATTTGACTTTTTTCTACATTAAGATATAACAGATTTCCTAAAATTTCCCAAGGTTCTCTGCGGAAAAATTTTCAATGGCACTTCCTTTGTGTTTACTAAATTTTTTTTTTCAACCAATTCAAGGTTTCATTCTTCTCATGAAACAGTTTCAACTCAAGCATATACATATCAAGCCAACAACTCACTAAATCAAGCATATAACTGTCACCTACTCAAGTTAAAAAAATAAAACCCTAAGTTGAAATTCCTAATCACAAGCTGGACGTTTCTTAAGGCAAGTCAAACTAGCATATAAAAACTAGATATTTCACATAGCAAAGCTACC